ATTCTGACTGGAGTGAGTTGAAATCTTAGTTTTGATTTGCATTCCTCTAATTGCTAGCGATGATGAACATTTTTTTCATAAATTTGTTGATTGATTGTACATCATCTTCTGAGAAATGTCTCTTCAGGTCCTTGGCTCATTTATTAATTGGGTTATTTTTTGTTTGTTTGTTTTTTGGTGCTTAGCTTTTTGAGTTCTTTATATACCCTAAAGAGTAGTGCTCAATCTGATGTGTGAGGGGTAAAGATTTGCTCCCAAGATTTAGGCTCTCTATTTTCCACACAGATTGTTTCTTTTGCTGAGAAGAAAATTTTTAGTTTAAGTCCATCCCATTTTTGATTCTTGATCTTGATTCTTGTGCCAAAGGAGTCTTATTAAGGAAGTTGGGGCCTGATCCCACATGATGGAGATTAGGGTCTATTTTTTTTTTTCTATTAGACAACAGGATCTCTGGTTTTATTCCTAGTCCTTGGTCCATTTTGAGTTGAGTTTTGTGCATAGTGAGAGATAGGGTTTTAATTTCATTTTGTTGCAAATGGATTTCTAGTTTTCCCAGCACCATTTGTTGAAGAGGCTATCTTTTCTCCAATGCATGTTCTTAGCACCTTTGTCAAATATAGGATAATTGTAGTTTTGTGGCTTAGTGTCTGTGGCTCTATTCTGTTCCATTGGTCTACTAGTCTGTTTTGGTGCCAATACCATGCCATTTTTGTTACTATTGCTCTGTAATACAGTTTAAGTTCTGGTATAGTGATACCACCTGCTTCATTCTTCCTGCTAAGGATTGCTTTAGCTATTCTGGGTCTCTTATTTTTCCAGATGAATTTCATGATTGCTTTTTCTATTTCTATGAGGAATGGCATTGGGATTTTAATTTGAATAACATATTGATTCTGCCTATGCAAGAGCAAGGTAGGTCTTTTTAGAGATTCATCCACAGGATTTAATGCAGCAATAGTGAGTAAACAAATTACATACAACCAGATGATAACTTAAAATACTGAGTCGAAAGAATAAACTTATGTGCTGTATGGTATATAATTATGTATATAAGAAGGCCCTCCACTACCCAAGCCCACCAACACCACTAAAGAGGAAGCTGTACTTGGCCACCCTACCATCTTCCTCAGAAGCCTCCCTGTGGCAATCCAACCCTTTCTCATCTTCCCAGTTTTCTTTGTTGGTGGAAGTCTTGGAAGACTGGAGATGTTTGGGCCTATTTATGGGATCTCAATTAGATTTAGTTGTCTATGTGGCTCTCCTTATGCTAGTACCACACTGTGTTGATGAACATATGGAACTGTGCATTATCTAATTTTTCTTCTTTTTCAAGATCATTTTATAACAATTTTTTGAATTTTTTTTGCAGGAAATATTTTGTCTCCTAGACAATTTCTTAACTTGTTCAATAAGTTAGATATATCAACATGAGTTCTTTATTTTATGACTTGAATTATAATCAAACACTACTTTGGTGGCTCAGATTGATCTTTAGCCATTGATCTCTAAGAGTTGACTCCAGTGTCCCTTTGATATATTGCTATTTTGCTATCTCTTTTTCTCTCTGTCCTTCTCTCTCTCTCTTTGTTTCTGTTTTCACTTCTTGACTTTCTGGCACTGTATAGCTAGCTCCAGGTTTATCTTCCATATTTCCAGCACCTGTTAGAATCACCTATTTCTCCAGGAATTCTTGGATCCATAATATGGATAATGTTATAGGAACCAAAATTGGGGTGCTGGGTCAAGTTGTTGCTATAGGGTATTGTTGCTTTTGGGCCTTGCCACCTGACATAACTGGCAATAATTGCTTGTTAACTCTTCCACATCAGTGTTTTCTGCACACTTGACTTACAGAGCATCAACATGAAAATTCCATAAAGAAGCAAGAAAATAATTTTATTTGTAAAACATGGAGAAGATAACAGAGAACAGGAGAAAACTAGAGAGGAAGGTAGGAAGTGTAGGCATCAGTAGGCATCCCATTTGCTATTAGGTGGGAAGGAAATGGGCCAGGCAGCAGTGGAAATGATATGAACTTGGAAGTGGGCCAACAGCATCAGCACCCTGAACTCTCTTGGGGACTTTTCTGCAGGGGAAGGGCACCTCTTCTTACTATCAAGCAAGATGGAAGTGTAAAGAAATGTGTGACCACTTGTAATGATTTCAGGAGGAGAATACTGCTACTTCTATTTTCAGGAGGAGAATACTGCTACTTTTCACTGGAACTTGACCTCTATCCAGGTCAAGTTCCAGTGAAAAGCAGGAAGGGATGCTACCACTAGGTTTCTGTGGAAAACAGGGTCAGAGGCAGACCATGTCAGTTCAAACCTGTGGGCATGTCTGTCTCCTTCCCCTCATATTTCTATAGAATCTTGGGCCTTCAGTTATATAGAGGAAGGCAAAGATCGGAGATTTCTCTTAGAAATCTAGACAGAGCAGAAGATCTAGTTTGGGGAGCAGGGAGACAGAAAAAGTGGCTAATTTCCAAGCAGCTGTTATTTTAGATCAGGTTTTGCTTCCTAAACTCAATTTTATACCTCCTGGATCAAAGTAAAATAGGCTGGTTGGTGGCCCAACAACACTGTGTCTAACACACCCAGGGCAGGTGCTATAGGAATCTAAAGACAAAGTTGTTCCTTGCTGTGCACAGGTCAAAGGCAGGGTTGCTAGGAGTGAAGTTGGGAGTGTGCATGCATCCAAGCACAGTTTTGCCTATGCTTTGGTATTTCCTCCCACCACCTCATTATAAGTCCTAAAACAGAATGTGTCAGAAAATACTCCAGTATTGTTGTTCTTTTTTCTTTTCTGTTGGATATGGGATCTCACTCTATTCAGAGGATGGTCTTGGACTCCTGGGCAGAAATTAACCCCCTCCTTAAGCCTCCTGAGTAGTTGTAACCACAGGTGCACATGCTGCATCTGGTTCGAATATTCTTTATGTAAGATTCAAATTCATGCTGAAGCTGTAGCATTATCTGTCGCCCAAGCAGTTCATTCTAATTACAACTCCGTGGGCAAACATCATCAGGATGTGGGAGAAACTGTCACTAGTCTGTGAAAAGGAAATTGTAAATATCTGCAGATATTTACAATTAGACAAATAAAGACAATTAAACATAAACCACTACGACCATCTCACAGATAGTCATTTGGAATGTGACAAAATTTAATAATAATTTACTAAATGAGTTCTAGGGTTGCCCCTAAGTGTCTCAGAAGAATGGGGAGGGAGACTTAAACATTCCTGGGAGGTTATGCAGTATTTATGGATGAGAAGGTCACAGATGGAACTAAACAACAAACTCATTTCATTATCAGGAAAAAAATAACATTTGGATTCTAGATGTTGCTAATAAATGAGGGAACCTATACATTCTGGCTTCTCTCAAACTTCCTTTTAGTGCTTCTACAGGAAATTTTTGATATACAGAGACATCCAAATGAGTCTCTCATTTGCCTGCAGAGCTATGCCTGGACTGGAGCTATAACCTTGTGCTGTGAGAGCTTCTGTTAACACAAGCCAATTGCTGGCTTTACAATGATTAATTATGGTGTATAGAATATGAATGTATACTTCCGTGTATATAAATTATATCAACTTTTATCCATGTAGCTGGCAAGCACATGAGAGCTAATTTAATTCTATAACTCAGACAACAGAAAAGTGCAATTTTGTACTGAGAGTCATAAGGACCAGAGCTCTTACCCAGTATCAACATTAAAGTGCATCTGTGATTGCCTGGGGATGGGATGGGAAGAATCACAACAGGCATGAGGAAACTTTGTAAAGGGAAATAATTTGGGGATTTCTTCTTTTGAAGATGAACCCTAGGTAAGCCTTTAGAATACTTACCAACAAAATAATACTATAGGATATAGTAAATCTCAGCAGAGAATTATGCACTAGTATGGAGATCCATATGTAAGCACAGACTGTACATAATTTCCTCTAGATGAATGTGTAAATATTAGTCATGTATAAGAAATCTCCAGGAAAAGACTGTTTAAGGATTTATTATTAAGGAACTGTTTTAAAACATCAGATACTACTAACAAAAGGATAAGATATATGGGAATTATCTATTCACTTTCAAAACATATGAATTCTTTTTAAAAATCTAGGCTACATATAAATTTTAAAATAAATTTATATTAAGTCAAGATGTTTATATATGAATACATTATCGGTAATTCCAAAACATGTACAACTGCAAGAATGGGATCCTATACACCATGTATTTATAATATGTCAAAATACACTCTATTGTCATGTGTACCTAAACATCAGAAAACAAAATATTTTTAAAAGTTGCATAGGAGTAGATGTAACATAACATTAATTCAAGTATTTAATTCAACATGTTAACTTTTCAAGTGGCAAAGTATACATTCTAATCTCTAACATACCCCTTTTACTAACAAAATCCTCTTTACAATATAAAATGCTGATGTCTTTCAGATCTAAAAATGTAATGATATCATTAAATATCATTACAGCATATTAGAAACAATATAAAATGAAAACCTGGCATTCAGATTTCAAACAAATCACATTTTCCCACAGATTAAAAAATATTCAGAAGTATCATTTACATATCTTTATGGGGTATATCACAATAATTTAATATATGTATACAATGTGAGTTTTATCATACAACATTGACTTTACATCCAGCAGGTCACTAGTGTCATCTCTCTTTAGTTTTTTTGTGATTAATGACTTTGCATAGAATTCATATTATGGCAGATTTAGAGAGACTGTGTGCCCTTCAAGAATGGGGACGTTCTAGCATTTCAAGCAGGCTTTGGTATATGACAGATGAGTCTGAACACCTGATAAATTTTCAGGAAGCAGGTTTATTTAAGCTGCAGTGGTCCAGAGGGGCTAATGTAGAATTTCTGGATCCAGAATCTGGACATTCTTTGAAATTTATACTCAGTGGGTAGTTAACAAAACAGGGTGGTTAACATAACAGATACTTTTTGTTCCATTTTCTTAGGCTGGACAGAGATTTCGCAAGTTTTTTACGAAAACAGTAACTTGCACATCAACAAGTTGATTGTGGACCTAACTTTCACAAGAAAGAGAAATCTGGCCTCTACGACAAACAGCTCAAACCACAATGAGCTCTTCAGAACTCCTGCTGACATTTTTTTAAAAAAGAGCTAGTTGACTAGGAGAGAGAATTCTATGTTAAAATTAAGTGGGTTTTTTGGGGGGGACTACAACATTACCCGCTTTGATGCTCATTATTTAATCCTTTAGATTAAAGACAATTATTATCTTTTTGGCTTAACTTTATGATTTTAGTTGTTGTCTTTTTTAAAAGTGCTGCTTCTGTAGTAGACTTTACAGTTTTAATGTAAAGGGGAGACACACATGTAAACAATAAACAAGATAAGAGCATGATGCTTGCTATGTCAAATGAGTTTTTGAATCCACCAAGAATAGAAAACCATCCTCCAAATACTGAGCTTGGAAGCCAAGCTTTAATGCCTTTCAGGTTTGAACTGGTACATGTGCTAGCTTTCTGATATTGTTAACTATGTTTCTGACTTTATCAATCCTTTAGTAAATCCCAAGGAAATGACTATATATATGATAGAAGTAAGGGGTAGCAATACATCACAGTATAAGAGCTGTCTTAGAGGATGAAACAGTCCATTTATCCTGTTGATTGGTTTATCTTTTACTGTGTGTTGTTCAGCCAGCCCCCAAGTCGCTGAAGCAGGGCTGATGTTTCCTCATGCTGTGGGTGTGTGCAGGCTAGTCAGCTTCCAGAGTGACTGGAGCAGGCCTGGTGTCCTTCTGACCCTCAAGCGTGTCTGGTTTTTCCTTCTTCCTGATGTTCAGCTGAAGGGGTGTAACTTAATGAGGGAAAGCTGCAAAAGAATGTATATGAGAATGAGATTCTATTTTCAGAAGATACCAAAACAAGACCAAAGGAACAAAATATTATGTAATGTATATGTGTGTATGTGTATATACATATAATGATATATTTGGAGACACTGTAAAGAAGTGTAAAAACTTGTGGACAGTGCTCCAGGTGCATGTGACAGAGGTGGGGATATCCTAGAAGGCTCAAACTATATAGATTTAGGTTATTTCCAAAGAGGCTGCTTTTCCCCAAGTCCAGGTGGGTGGGGTCTGGCCAGTCTGGCTCTCCCCAGACTGCTGCAATGTATGCATGCCTTGCACTGTTGCCTAGAGGCCCAGAGGTCAGAGGCCCAGTGCCCAGATGGCCTTGTATCTGGAACCGAGTCAGGTTTAGGGAGGAGTCAGGGGAGGTTGGGGAAGGGGATGGTGTAGGAAGAAAGGAGAAAGGACTGGAAGGTGCTTCCAGGGCTCTTAGAGTAGCCAGAGATACCTCTCCAGCTTGCTCCATGGGGTTGAGGTCCAGATCAGGACAGCAAACCTCAGGCTCTGACCCAGCCCCTCACCAGTGGGCTGGACCTCCAGTTGTAAGGGACAATCTTCCTCCATCACAAGGAATTTGGTAATATGCTGCCCAGAATGTAATCAGGCTAATTAGGCCACTGATGCTGGAGGTTGTTCATAGGTGGCAAATAAATATCTTAGTTGTTTCAATTTTAAGCCTGATACGTTTCCCAAACACATTCTATTGCATGATTATACACAGAGGATGAAATTATGAAAATTATTGATGAGCTGGTCAATATTGCAAGTGACTAGATCCTCTTCCAGTATGACCTCGTTGGAATGATTTGGAAGGATTTCCTAGAAGAATTCCTAGACAAAACACATCACTTGATAACTCATCTATAATTTTTTTCCTAGAAGAATTCCTAGACAAAACACATCACTTGATAACTCATCTATAATTTTTTTCCTAGAAGAATTCCTAGACAAAACACGTCACTTGATAACTCATCTATAATTTCATATTTGAAAACACTACTAACAAAAAACTTTAGTTACCAGTGAAGACCTGCAGTCCTGTGGTGTGTCATTATAGAAATATTTATCTCAGTCTCACGAAGCAAGAAAAAGAGTGTGACTGAACGAGGACCATAGAAATCCCTCAGTGATCCATGGTGTCATTATTTAAGAACACTACTAGACTAATTCAAACTATAACCCCCAGACCTTTACAATAACAAACAATCCTTTTATGACCCACTCTCCCTCCTCTTGGGGATTCCCTAACAAAAATATTCACCAGCAGTTATCCAAGCATTGGAGAGCCTGAGTCAGGAGGACCTGGAGCTCACAACTAGCCTCCACAAATTAGTGAGGCCTTAAGCAACTTAACTAGACCCTATCTCTAAATAAATACATTTTTTTTAAAAGGCTGGGGACAGGCTCAGTGGTTAAGAACCCCTCCATTCAATATCTGGTACAAAAATAAATAAATAGATAGATAGATAGATAGATAGATAGATAGATAGATAGATAGATAGATAGATCTATCATCCAAATTTCAGTCCTCTAGATGGTTCTATATTTTCAGCAATGCTCATCAGGTTTTACCTTCTAGAAATACAATTGCATTAAACATCCCAATATCCACTCCCACTCAAAACCCTCCTATCCTGGTTTTTATTCCTCTAAAATGCCTAGATGTGCTAGCAATGCTCCTGTGAAATGACTGTGACTCACTTGACAATTATCACATTCAAAGGGGAAAGGATGGCATCCATCAACTTTGGATTTAAAGGCTTGTGATCCCAGGCTCTGGTAGAAGACTACACTTGCTTTCTCTCTCCCCTGTTGGTCTTTCTTGAGCATCATGGGTCCAGCTTAGGGCCAACTTTGACACCCTAGCTATAAGTGCTTCTAATTTTAGTGGCATCTCCAATGTCTGCCAAAGTATAAACCCCTAAGTCCAACTCAGGGGCCAGCACCACGCCCAGAAAGGCTGCTTGCATTTTTAAATCCATGCCCATGATATCACTGGGATCTGGTAGCACAGACTTGCTTCCACACTGATACTGGCCTTTGGAGCACTTATCATCTGCTTCAAAGGAAGAGGGACCCCCCGAGGACCAGAAAGTGCTATGGGGCAAGTCTGGAGCATGAAAGCCTGCAGCACCTCTAACCAGAGCACCTCCAGTGACCAAGAGACAAAGGACAAACAGCAAACCTGTGCATGGAGGCACAGGTGCCCCTACATATTCTGCTCAATACAAAGGCTCACTCAAGAAATTCCCAAGTCGCATTCAGGGCCCAGCACCATCCAAGGAAAACCACATGTCTGTGCCCATGGCAGTGGCCTCTGTGAAAGGGTAGTGCAGAGACTTTACCCTAGATCTGATATCTGCCTTTGGGTAATGAACATCTCCTTTCAAAGAGGAGGGACTCCCAAGCATAAGACAGATCTATGAATCAAGCTTGGGTCTGAACAACTGTGGTCCACTAGTCAAGAGAATTTCCATGGGGACCAAGTTACATAGGACAAAGACCAACTGTGTGCTTGGAACCACCCATGCATTTACTTTCAGTGTCATCCCCAAAGGGCCACAAGAAATGCACAAGTTTGCTTTGGGGCAGCACCACCACCACAAGCAAGGCTGCATGTAGGCCAGCACATCTGTACTAGCCTCTCACCCTGGCAGCTCTGCTTCTCATGGGGACACAGTGAAGAGGAACCTCATCTTTAGGGCCCGTTGCTCATCCACCCAAGGCCTCCTGGATCTACCACCAGACCATATTATTCCAGGGCAAGATCCACTCCTGGGGCAGGGGTCCAAGAGAAAATGTTTTTCTCACTAAGCATCCACCTTCTTCCTCATGCGATCTGGTGTCAGCCCTTTTTAGACACATATCACAAGTCTCACCCTGACCTGGGATCCTGGGAGAAGTAGAGGCATCCCTTTCCCATCCATTTCCTGGCAGCTTTGCCCTCAGAGTAGAGAGGCAGGAGGCTGTCATTTTATTTGGCTCTCTGGTGAGGTTTCTCACTCCTACAGAGGCCCTGGTCTGGCTCTTTGGTTTCCTTGCTGTTTGAGCTCTTTGGAGGTCTCTATCCTTAGGCAATTTGCGTGGATGGGGAAATTTGAAATTGGCAGATTTGTAGTCCAGATAATGAGAAGAGATGTGAGATACACAGAAGATGCAAAATGTTTGGGGAATCTCTGTTGTAATCTGTAAGTATGGGAAATATTAAGCCCATACTATCTCCCTAGAAAGAATTTTCACTGACTGCCCTTCTTGTAACAATGAACCTGTGACCAAGGGGGAAAAATATTTATTAATTAGCATGGAGTCTGTATATGCTAGAATCAAAGGAAAAAACTGTCTTTAAATAGGTCCCTGAAATATTACACTATTATCCAACTAGAATTGTTTTGTCAAAGACCAGGAACATGGGAAGAAACATTAGGTGTTGGATTTTTGTATTCTTCTACATAAACAAGTCTATTCTAAACTCCTGGTGCAGAGAACTCAAGCACCAAAACAGATGCCTATGCCACTTGGTGGGGAGAGTGGAATATCAACAATAATGGGGTAAATGAGGCTGAGCCAGTGAGGTTCATGGGCTGTGGTCCTCCAGGGATCCCAATTTTACCTCTACCAGAGAGTCACAGAGGACAGGGTGACTAAATCAGGAAGCCTGGAGGGCTTTGAAGGTGACTTAAAAATAAATCTCACTGTGGGATAGTGGGGCAAATGTCAGGTGAATCAAATGCCCCATGGTAACCACTGGAGTAAGGGGGGTGAGCAGAGGATGGATGTTACCACCTTGACTGCCTCAAAGGCACCTGGGGTTATGGAACTAGGGGCAGAGGGCTTCCCCATTAGTCCCTGAACCCAGGTTTCTGAAATTGGTGGGGGCTGGGGATCACCTACATGCCTTTGTTTATGCAGAGCCTCCCACCAAGTCCCATCCTGGGTGTTCTAGTTGCAACTCAAGTTTCAAGCTCCAGTCAAGTCATTACCTCCTTCTAGAAGCTTCCAAAACTCTTCATACCCCATGTGGGGTCTATGAGGTGCTCCCTTCATGTTCCACTAACACCTCTTCCTGGCACTTGTCACAAGAACCCAAACTGACATTCACTCATTCACTGTTTCTCTGGCATCTCCTGCATGCTCTGTGAGATAGAAAGGCATTGACTAAACCAAACAAATTGAAAAAGAGTGACAACCTGAGGCCAGTTCTCTATAGCCCCCCCAAACATAGTTATATAA